TTTGAATATTTTCTTCAGGGATGAGAGGAAGGAGTTTATCTTTGCCAAGTATGAGAGACGGAAGTACGTCTTAAAGACAAGTTCTAGTCCCTCCGTCATGCTGCAGGATTTGAGGCAGGCTGTGGTGCTGTCCGACATGGACCAACTGCTGAGGGTGTTTGCTGAAGGAGTTGACCTCGCTGCTCCTGTGTCAGACACGGTAATTACAGGGCTGAGGGAAGAGTTCAAAATGGTCTCAGAAAAGATCATAGAATTGACCAGGGCTCCAACTGTGACGGTTAGGAGTCTGGTTCCCTGAGACTGTGGTATGAATCACCTAAACTGAACATTAATTGAAGTTTTGAGACACGTTTCACATTTGATGGCAGAGGACCATTTCCTGATTGAAAGATTTGATCGGGGGTTTTAGACTTGTCCTTTGCTCAACAAAGAGTTGGGAGTTAACAGCTATAATAGCTACGTTTTACTTCCCATGTTACATACTGTATTTGAGGCGTGATCCCTGGCTACATGGTGTTTCAGGTTTTATGTCTTCTGAATGGCACCCCTGAACAAAGATACTGACAAATGGGAAGGGTCACTGAGGTAAGGCTGGACAGCTGAGTTGGTAGAGCATCGTTATGGTATTCCAGAGATTACAGGTTCAAAATCCTGCTCAAGTCAAGTTCTTTATTCATTTTTGTAATCAATATATAAAATAGCACCTAGTCAGTCTCCTTATATAGTTTGTTTGATGACTTTTTCATTTAAAGAGGAACTTATTAGAACTTCAATTTGGTACCGAAAAATTTTGTGTGGCATGTTGCCAAATTCCAAACTTATGGAATGTATGTTTGTCACTGTGTGTAATATATCACTCCTTGTTTCCTAATTCAAGTTCATGTAACCAATTACTTCATGCAACCTGTTACCTAATCATCTAGTTACCTCACTCAGTCTCATACCTTATTCCACCTGCTACCTCACTCAACCTGTTGTGTCACTTATCTTGTTACCTTATTGATGTTGTTGTGTCATTCAACGTCATAATTTATTCACCTGCTACATTATCCTGCCTGTTGCATGTACC